CTCAGAGCTAATTGTAAACAGTCTGAAATTTGTGGTTTTGAGGAAGTTAATTCTAATTTTATTTTGGCAAGTTAAAAGAAGCTCGTCGGTCAATATGCCTGATAATTAGAAATTTTTCTCTGGACAATATTAAAACATGTCTGTAATGTCCGAATGTCTGACGTGTTTTTGCAAACACTGTTGTTTAAAAATGGCGGGTCAGAATAAATGGTAAATGGCCTGTATTTGATATAGCGCCTTCTAGAGTCCTGAAGCCCCCAAGGCCTTTACAACACAATCAGTCATTCACCCATTCACACACACATTCACACACTGGTGGTGATGAGCTACAATGTAGCCGCAGCTGCCCTGGGGCGCACTGACAGAGGCGAGGCTGCCGAGCACTGGCGCCACCGGTCCAACCGACCACCACCAGCAGGCAACGTGGGTTAAGTGTCTTGCGACACAACGACAGTGACAGACTGAGCGGGGCTCGAACCTGCAACCTTCCGATTACGGGGTGAGCACTTAACTCCTGTGCCACCTTGTTGAATAAAACTTCAGCAAGACCAAGTAGACTGAAAAATTATTTTACTTGTTATCTTTGAAAGATGATCGGTCACTTGAGTTTCACATACAGGCTGAATGTGAAAATAGTCTTCTAGCCCTATTTCCTGCATTAGCTTCTGATAGAAACTAGACAGGGAAACACTGGTGTCAAAAAATGTCACTCAGATCTATGTCACACTGTCAATATTCATGGACTCACCCATCTGGGCTGTTGTTGGTTTAGCGTCCAGGAGAGAGTATAGCACATTTCGGCTAGTAGAAGCTAACCATTAGCATTAGCAACTCCACCACATGGCAGAACTCCTCCAGGCTTGTAATTTGTGGAGATAAAACATCAACATTGCAAAGCAAAGTGAGTGGTAGAGTTGTGTTGCTGTTAGTAAATCAGAAGTGAGATAATCGAATAACAGGAAATGATGAATAAGAGTCCAAATCCTACTGTCTTCTGCTCCTGTTACCTTCTACCTCCTGAAACTGGAGCGCAAGAGCTCTTTTTCCCATAGATACAGACTTCATTTATAATAGAGACCACAGCAAATGTCATGAAAAAAACATGTAAACTTGGTCTTTAGAGATCAACACCAAATAAATCCAGCTCAGGCCAATGAAGTTCATTCTATTACTTAATGGCAATGATAACTTTTTGATAATCTATAGAAACAAAGTAATTCAATTACTATGTTACATTTAGCATTTTGAGTATGATTTGATGCCTTTAGAGCAGCGCTAACACTCGTAGCACAGCCTTCCATGGTGACTGCTGACTCAGATAAGATTATCACCTACTGAACTCCTCTTGTATCTGACAGCTAGAGCACAAGCCCAGCACCAAGGGAAGTCCTACCACTACTCACCAGTGTACTTTAACTGCTGTTTAATATAATGGAGAAACTGAACATGGATGCTACATTTCAGCACTGCATAATGCAACACTTATGAAATTCACTATAATTCTTAGCTTTGGTGACATACTGCTTTAATATTGGGCGGTAATATGAAATAATTTATTCATCTTAGATCATTTAAAATGTGTCAACTTCAATGGTGATACTATAAGAGGTGGAAGAGTAGAATGAACAAATGGCAGTCAGAACTTGACTTTTTTATTTCTTAAGAATCAGATTTGGATAACTGCTATTTCGACCCCGATAAACGTAGCATTATCTGGAACTGCAAACAGCTCCTCCAACATTTGTATTCGAAATTAGATGGGAAAAACAGAATTTTTAAGCTTGCTTTTTTTGCGGGGGGGGGGGGGGGGGGGGGGGTTCTCTTAGAAAATGCATCCAACTCGAACTCCTCCCACTTCAATAATGATAAATGGTTGATAACTACAGGTATGCGCAGAAACAAAAGCAGGGTTTCCCCCAGCGCTTTATAAGCCTGGCGGCCCGTGAGGCTTTGCTTGGCCACCCGTCAGGCTAAGCGTCATGCCCCGCCCCCCTCCCCAACCCTACCGTGTCCGCCGACACGAACGGCGCAACGAAACTAGAGCCCTCCATCAGCTGATACTGGTGAGAAACAGATGCAGAACGTGTGCATCCCCCCACCCCCACCCCCGCTCTCACGGAGGAGCGCTGCGGGACTGAGCTTTGTCTATGGGTCATAGCCAGGCTGGCTTGGCAGGCTATCATATACAAAGACTTATGTCTTGATATTAAGTCATCGCAATTTGGAAATGTTGTATTCATAATTCATTATGAATTATTTGGCTTATGCACTGCTTCACCAAAACATACCAAAAAGTTTAAAGTGACAATTAGCGATGCACCGATATGAACTATTTGGGCCGATACCGATATCCATCCATCCATTTTCTGAACCCACTTGTCCACGTAGGTAAACAAAAACTAAACTATCAAGCTAATCTTGTCTTAAACAGTTTATTTTGCTGCTGGAGCAGATTAAGACGCCTCATACTCAGATCGTTGTTGCTGGTTTCATCATCACCCAGTTACCCATCCCATTTAGTGAAGTGGACCCAAACTTCAGAATGCTTCCTCTCTGCCATGCTGCTTTATTTAACAGCTCGCCCACAGTGACTGACGACATTACGCTCTTGTGCCGGCGTGCAGCACAAGTACCAAAACAAGGCACCGTTTCATGACGTGAATCGGTACTCAGTCGGTACTATGGAATTTGGTTGGTGCTTTAAAAAGTACCAAATTTGGTTCCCATTCCTAATGACACCTCCTGCTTGCATCTGACTCCTAATTTGTCTGGTAAAATAAAGAAATGTCAGTGTAATTATTTAGTTCAATGTAAGAAACTTAAGTGTTTTTTTTAGAAACCGTGGCCTCCAGAATGTGCTTATAAGCACACAATCGCAAGCAGCGCTGTTTATTTAATGCCAGATGGTCTGCTGCACAACAATTTCTGAGTCTGATGGACATTTCATTTGTCATCCCGCTGTCTTTTTACCTTTTGTTCATCAATGTAATGAGTGTGGGACTTTAGTTGTGTGTCAGAATTATATTAAAAGAGTATACGGAAAAAAGTATTCCTATTTATAGAGCGAGGGCAAATGTTTGTGTGCGGGGTTGGTTTCTGGTTAACCGGCTATTAATCGTTAAGGAGCATCAATAGCCGGTTATAGAAATTTTGGAAAACGTGCATTCCTATGGCTTTGTAACATATAACCATAAAAATTGTGTCTAAAATGCATGGGCACAGGTTAGTCTCTGGCCGAGGCCATATTAGATGCCACATTTCCTTCAACAGAAACCCGTGAGGACAAAATGCATTTACCGATTTGTAACTAGTGGTTACAAAACTTTCACCATTCATAAACATCGTTGTTTTACACATTTACCTCTTCACTCGTTGCCAGCTGGTGTGCTTGTCATTTTACTGGAGGTAGAATGATCTGACACAGTACATGTTCGAAAATTGTGCTCCCACGGATTTTAAACCCTAACGACCTCCCGTTGGTAAGATCTTACTCGGACACAAAAATACCACTTGATTGCAATGGTTTAGATAACTACTGCCCCCTATCGCCTAGGGATGCTCAGATCAGGGAATATACAAACTGTCACTTTAAATTAAACACTTCATATCAACTCACTGTCAACAAGGAATAAACTTAAATATGTTTGTAAACACATTGCAAAAGTAACAATGCAAACATGTGCTTCTGCAAAATCAATAACAAAACTTACTATTTAAATAGCTGACCAGCACGGAATTAATACCATGATTACATAATTGTTGATAGCTTCACAGACAAATTTTTTTATTAAATATAAATAAATAAATAAAATAGACAGTGACCTCCAAAGGTTTCAACTTCTAACTCATTAATAGTGCCAGAGAGAGTAAAAGTAAACATTCCTGTTCAATCAAGTAAACAAGGCTCATGACAAGCCAAACGACTGCAACAATTATTCTGTTTCAATCTATGTATACTGTCATGTAGTCTCGTAAAACATTTTAGGCAAAAAGGCTTGCAAAGCTGACATTGCTTGGCATAAAGATACCATAATAAATGTGTTCTACGAAAATAATTACTGAAGTTAGCAAGTGTGAGATGTCTAGAAAACTCTGAGTGCATATTTAAACCCATTTCTAAAGCTAAAAATGGTTGAATCTGTAACACCTAATTTGCTAGTATCAAAACCCAAAGCTTTAACTAAATAGTCTTTATCGTATCAGCTACCTTTTATAATGATAAACACAATTTTGATGGATTCAATTCAACTTACTTTAAGAAATCCCCTATTAAATGAGTGTAAAAATAACAAATTTATAAATATTTACATATTTTTCTGACAACTCATTATGTGAAACACGCACCCCTAACTGACTTTGGGGACAGTTTGATTTGAAATTTTATACTAACTTATTTCATTCAGTAATTAATTTAGAAGGTTGACACAGCTAACATTTATTTCAATGTCATCAGGAAAACAGTCCAATCTCGTCTCTTTGTAACCCTTGTGCTATTGCGCATCTGCTTCATTTTCCTCGGTTATTTACATTAACAGGTTAAAAAAACTGTCCACTAAATTGTCATTAGCTTGTTGTAGCTAGAGCAGCTATATCGTTACCATGCTAGATTAGCTCACCTGGGACTAGACTAAATACTGGAAAACCGATCTGCCTTTAAACAGTTTAGCCTTAAATTCGTTGACTCTCAAATAGCTTGATAATTGAAACTATGTTCCTTGTACTAAAGCTTCTTGAAAGGATTGATTTTAGTATAACATCACTATATGCGCAAAAATTGTTGACTTTGCGCAAATCATGAGGTATTTTGAAAATGCGTTGGTCTGACATATCAGTCTACTAACACACATACAGCTTCCATCCACTTAACACGGATCCTTCAGTGAAAGGGCCTGTTTGGCTGATGTGTTAATGTGAGCTAACGTTAGCTAGTGTGCTAACAGCTCTTTGGCTTGTCAAACTCAAGCTAATGACGTTAGCTGAAATACTAGCATGCTACTTACATTTTCCTGCTGCTCTGCGCCTGAAGATCCAATCCTGATAATCGGACTCTGATTTATGCGAAGATGTGTCGGTGACCAAGCTACCTACACAGGTGATGTTGGCCAGCTAGCTGTGCTATACTATTCCTTCGTTAACAAAAATAATCGAGATTGGCCTCAGTTGAGCGGCGATAATTCGTTTCTTGGTGGTTCCCTGCTTGGACAGCGTTGATTTTTACGCATGTTGGACGCCAGTTCTGTCTTTCACAGTAAGTGAAGACAATTGCGATCGTTCCAAAGCAAGTATTTGGAACGTGAAAATGTGTTATGCTATTATACAACACTGATAAATCTAGCACTTTCTTCCATTGAAAGGCCACAGAGCTATCCTTCGACTTTGGGTGCTGAACAAGAGGAGGTACTATTTTTGGCAGCTGCGCAGTGATTGGCTAAATTTTGTGGGCAAAACATCGTCTAATTGGTTAAAACTTGTGTCAATTAGCTCTGCCCCTAGTTCGTTCTACGTGCTCATTGGTCTATTACAAAGTTCTACTACGTACTGGAAATGCGGGGTACACTCGTCAAAGGCTTCCGGCGTGTGCCAAAATCTCACTGGATGAGCGGAGTTTGTATTTAACTGGAAATGTATCTGCGAGGCCGAAATAGACTGACCCATCCACAGCGAAACTGAAGATACATTTGAAATAAACAATGGACATTTTCAAGACATTTTCAATCATATTGTATTATTTGTGAAGTGTCATGGATAAGTCCAGACGTACTGAATTATAAAATAAGCACAACATGCAGTACAGCGTGGATAATTCAAGAGGTTCCTATGTGAGGCTTTCCTTTACAAAATTTAGACTGAATCATTTAAAGTTTCAAAGTTTTGTACTAATGAAAATGAGGATTGGTGACGATCTTTAACTTTGATGTCTTAAAATAAAAAGATACGCCTGTTACCATCTATATTGATAAACAAATTCAAAATAATGCTTCTGTTATAAGACTGCCTAATTTTATGCATATTTTTAGATGACTGGTGTGAAACATGGGAAAGCATAGGCAAAAGATGAATGTTCTAAAACCTCAGGACACCCCTTTTGTACTGGAAGAACGGTTTTAACTTGTGACTTAAATATGACAATTTTCATGTCAGCATCTATTAGGCTGTCTGGGTCATTACAATGAGATGTGACTTTTTTAAGGAGTTTCATGAATCAATTGTTCATGATTTAAACAATGGATAAGCAGAAGAAAATGGATGGATGGATCCAAGCAACAGAAACCAAAGTCTGGTTTCCATTTCAAAACTCCAAGACATCCACATACATACAGGTGCTGGCCAGTAAATTAGAATATCATCAAAAGGTTGAAAATATTTCAGTAATTCCATTCAAAACGTGAAACTTGTAGATTATATTCATGCAATGCACACAGACCAATGTATTTCCAATGTTCATTACATTTAAATTTGATATTCATAAGTGACAACTAATGAAAACTCCAAATTTGGTATCTCAAAAAATTAGAATATTCTGAAAAGGCTGAATATAGAAGACACCTGCTGCCACTCTAATCAGCTGATTTACTCAAAACACCTGCAAAGGCCTTTAAAAGGTCCCTCAGTCTTGTTTTGAAGGCACCACAATCATGGGGAAGACTTCTGACTTAACAGCTGTCCAAAAGACAATCATTGACACCTTGCACAAGGAGGGCAAGACACAAAAGGTGATTGCTAAAGAAGCTGGCTGTTCGCAGAGCTCTGTGTCCAAGCACATTAACAGACAGGCGAAGGGACGGAAAAAATGTGGTAGAAAAAAGTGTACAAGCTCTAGGGATAACCGCACCCTGCAGAGAATTGTGACGACAAACCCATTCAAAAATGTGGGGGAGATCCACAAAGAGTGGACTGCAGCTGGAGTCAGCGCTTCAAGAACCACCACGAGGAGACTCATGAAAGACATGGGATTCAGGTGTCGCATTCCGTGTGTCAAGCCACTCTTGAACAAGAAACAGCGCAAGAAGCGTCTCGCCTGGGCCAAGGACAAAAAGGACTGGACTGATGCTGAGTGGTCCAAAGTTATGTTTTCTGATGAAAGCAAGTTCTGCATTTCCTTTGGAAATCAAGGACCCAGAGTCTGGAGGAAGAGCGGAGAAGCACAGAATCCACGTTGCATGAGGTCCAGTGTAAAGTTTCCACCGTCAGTGATGGTGTGGGGTGCCATGTCATCTGCCGGTGTTGGCCCACTCTGTTTCCTGAGGTCCAGGGTCAATGCAGCCGTCTACCAGGAGGTTTTAGAGCACTTCATGCTTCCTGCTGCTGACCAACTTTATGGGGATGCAGACTTCACCTTTCAACAGGACTTGGCACCTGCACACAGTGCCAAAACCACCAGCACCTGGTTCAAGGACCATGGTATCCCTGTCCTTGATTGGCCAGCAAACTCGCCTGACCTTAACCCCATAGAAAATCTATGGGGTATTGTGAAGCGGAGGATGCAATACGCTAGACCCAACAATGCAGAGGAGCTGAAGACGACTATCAGAGCAACCTGGGCTCTCATAACACCTGAGCAGTGCCACAGACTGATCGAGTCCATGCCACGCCGCATTACTGCAGTTATTGAGGCAAAAGGAGCCCCGACTAAGTATTGAGTGCTATACATGCACATTCTTTTCATGTTCATTCTTTTCAGTTGGCCAACATTAGAGAAACAAACATTTTTTCATTGGCCTTTAGAATATTCTAATTTTCTGAGATACCAGATTTGATGTTTTCATTGGTTGTCACCTATAAATATCAAAATTAAACGTAATGAACATTGGAAATACATTGGTCTGTGTGCATTGCATGAATATAATGTACAAGTTTCACGTTTTGAATGGAATTACTGAAATATTTTCAACCTTTTGATGATATTCTAATTTACTGGCCAGCACCTGTACATATACAGTGAAGAACATAAATATATAAACACTGTGATTTTGCACGTTCTCCCACTTACTTACTGAATTTCACATTGTAGGCTCACAGTGTCATTTGAAAAATCAGGAAATCACAATGTATGATTTTCAAAGAATTTATTTGTATTGTACTGCTTCACACATATTTGAAAATCTGAGAAAATCAGTGTTAATATTTGGTACAGAAGCTTTTGTTTGCAATAACAGAGGTCAAACATTTCCTGTAGTTTTTGACCAGGTTTGCACACACTGCAACAGGGATTTGGACCACTCCTCCTCACAGATCTCCCTCCAGATCTGTCAGGGGGACCCCACGCACCCAGCTGTGAAGCCAACACCGAAATGACAAAAATTGCAGTTCCACCCTCATCTGCTAGGGGCCGGCACCAGAAGCAAGCAAATCCTCATTTGACTCTTTTGTTAAAAAGATACTTTGCAACTTTTCATATTTTTAAATTGTTTTCTTGAGCCAGTATGTCCTAAAATTACTCTTTACATGTTTAATGAAACTAGAAGGCAAGAAGAACAGTTCTTTACAAGGAGTCATCTCTCATTGTTCACTTTGAAAACCCATTCAAAAGATTTGATTAGTTTGTGAACGTCACATCGCTAAATAGGTCAAGTCAAGACAACTGAGGAGGATGCATTTTTTGTCACGCTTCCATTGAGGTGTGTTGCTTTAAATTATGAATAATTTGATTTGGTTGACAGGTAGCATGAGCGTCAGAGCTAGCAGCTAGCATCAGGGAAGGCCTCAGCCTGAGCCTCTTTAATAGATGTAAAGTCATTTCAACTCTCAGCTGAGCAGCGCAACCTCCTGGCTCACATACAAGGCTCTAGTTGTCCTGGCTGCCTGTAGATCTCTCTGAGGGAGACCACAGAAATGATGAAGCTTTTGAGTGCTTCACTTTTGAGTCGCACAACCACGTTTTTATGGCTAAAAGTGCCCAAAAACATCTGCTCGCTTCAGGTTAGTGTTTGGGTGTCATGTCAATCATTTGCTCCCACCCTCACAGCCCCACTCAGCTCCACCGCTTTTCCCATTGTTGGATTGTCTGGGCATAACAAGATGTGTGACACGGCCAAGGTGGTGGTTGTTCTGTCCCCATAGCAGAAAAACACACTGTTAACTTTCCACCCTTGTACTTCACAGTAAGGGTGGTGTTATGGGATGAAACTCATCTTTCTTCTTCCTCCAAACACAAAAAGTGGAGTTCAAACCCAAAAGTTCTATTTTGGTCTCATTTGACCACATGCCTTTCTCCCAAGCCTCATCTGGATCATCCACATGGTTCTTGGCAAACTTCAGATGGGCCTGGACATGTGATGACTTGAGCAGGAGAAGCAACCATGACGGCGTAGTGTTCTACCAACAGTGACCTTTGAACCTGTGGTCTCAGCTCTTTTCATTTCATTGACCAGCTCCTCCCATGTAGTTCTGGGCTGATCCCTCACCTTTTTAATCATCAGAGATACCCTACGAGGTAAGATCTTGCATGAAGTGAAGCCACTGTCCAAGGGAGACTGACAGTCGTCTTTAGTGTCTTCCATTTTCTAAAAACTTCTTTGTAACATTTGATCTATTTTCAAAAAGCTGCTTGAAAGTTGGCCCATAGCTCTTTCCAGCATTGTGGTGGTCCACAATTTTGTCTCTGGTGTCCTTTGACAGCTCTTTGGTCTTGCCCATGGTTGTAGTTGGATTCTCATTGACTGTGGGGTGGACAGGTGACTTTAACAAGTTCAAACAGGTGCTACTAATTTATAATAATAAGCGGAGTAGGTGGACTTTTTAAAGCAGAGTAAAAGGTCTTTGAGAGCTAGAATTCTTGCTGATTGCCAGGTGTTCAAATATGGATGTACAGCAGTGCAACACAAGTAAATTCTTTAAAAATCATGTTGTAATTTCCTGAGTTTTTAAAAGTTGTCTCTTACAGTGAGAATGCACTTACAATGAGAACTTCAGAAGTGGGAGAACTTTCAAAATTGCAGTGTTCCAATACTTGTGTCTCTCACTTTACACACATAGTACATTCATACATACATACATTCATACATACATACATACATTCATACATACATACATTCATACATTCATACATACATACATACATACATACATTCATACATACATACATACATACATTCATACATACATACATACATACATACATACATACAAACATACAGACAGACAGACAGACAGACAGACAGACATACATACATACATACATACATACATACATACATACATACATACATTCATACATACATACATACATTCATACATACATACATACATACATACATACATACATACATACATACATACATACATACATTCATTCATACATTCATACGTACATACATACATACATACATACATACATACAGACAGACAGACAGACAGACAGACAGACAGACATACATACATACATACATACATACAT